GCTTTTATTGATTCACTTTCAAATGGAACTCTAAGTTTACAGAGACAAGCTAAGACAACATGATGATAACATGAACGTGATCTAAATATTTTAAGCAGTGTTGAGCAGCAAAAGTCATTATTCGATAGAAACGTGAGTCTTCATTGGAAACACATAAGATTCCAGTCAAGACAAATTCAAACACGACAGAAAAACATTTCTCAAAAGCATAAACTACTGCTGACATCAAGTGACTCTGAAATTAAAAAGTCAATCTTAACATCTGTGTTACAACTATATGACAACTGCACATTGAAATKWCTTTTTACRTTTATCTCGATGTGTTAGTGTTTCATTTMTCTCCCTCTTTGTCTGTCAACTTGATTTGAAGMTAATATTTTTAAGCTGCTCACTTTTCATCTTGCAGTCACTTTCACTTTTSACTTCCCATCAGCCACCACCTCTTTCCCAGATATGATAGCTTTGATATAATTACTGTATTTGTAAAGCGCTTATCTAAACAAAGGTAGAGTAAAACTCTTCAGCCCAGAATCCTTCAATATTAGTTACACATACATTGGCACTTTCTGATTTTAGGAMTATGTAATGTTGATAAWGTGATTTAATTAGATTTAAGTTTCCTTCATTTGCTTTCTGTTTTCTCACGTTCACTGTCCTCCATCATGTTATTTCAGGAGCAAAATGAGCATCAGAATAATCAGACCAACCACAACAACAAAAACCAACAGGATGAGCCAGAACCTGAGGGGATTGTTCTCCCGGTCTGAAAGAAAGAAGAAAAACACATCGATGACTCATCAGGTGTAATTCACAAGGTGAACAATAATAAAATGACTTATCTTACATACTAGAATATTACAACCAGAGAAATTCTATAATGTAATTGTAGAGATTCCTGACGGACGACATCATGATCGTTGCGGGCCACATGAACCACCGTGCCAGTGCCGGGCAGCAACGCTGTGCCAGGTAGCAACGCTGTGCCAGGTAGCAACGCTGTGCCAGGTAGCAACGCTGTGCCAGGTAGCAAATCACCGGTGCCAGGATGCAAACCCAAAACAGGGGCCGAATCATGTCTGAGGGACAGGAGAAGATGGGGGACGTCTCTGAATAGTGGACGATGAGGGAGTTAACTTTTTCTCAATGTCACGACGAGCAATGGGTCCAGTTTGAAACACTAGATGGCGCCCTGAGCCATACTCAACCCATATATAAAGACTCTTTGTGGTAATCTGATATTAAAACTCCCATAAGAACAGTTCTGTTAATTAGAGAAACACTACAGTCGGTATTAAAAGACACTTTAAAGAAATCTGAAGTTGATGAATCAAGTCACACTGAGATCGGAGGATGATAATCAAACAGCAGTCAACAGGAACAGTAATATATCAGTAAATCACCTGTTGAATTCCAAGAGACGTGTCTGCCCCACTCTGCTGCAGAAGAAAGAACAAACTCACTGAAGCACTTTCACTTTCATTC